ACTTATATTTAAGTTGCCAGATCGAAACAAAATTTAATATATGTTGGAAGTTTCCAAAACACTTAATTTTTTCTGTGTATACCGCACCTTTTGTGCTAGGCTAAGATGTTTCCGAACTGCCCCCTACACACTTTACATATTGTGATATGTCTCCAAATCTTAAATCAAACTTTGTACACCCTAATATTTTAGCCAAACCTGTATAATGTAGGAAAATGGGATTCATCGATCTACTTCTTCTATAGAGCGAATGGAATATTCGATTTGATCTATACTCTGCACATCATAATATTTTTAGCAAGCCTAGATCAAGACCGAAGATTGAATCCATCAGTCCACTCCTTCTGGTATCTCCCAATATTTTGCAAATTTTTAAATCTCATATGAAGCGAACCGAATACCTGATTTTATCCGAACTCTGCACATCGTAGTATTTTTACCAACTCAAAATTAAATCTGATAATGGGGCCCATCGGTTCACAATTTCTGGTACCTCCCCAACAAATTGTCAACATTTTGAAAAATTGTTAATCCAATATCAATCAAATGCAATGTCCCATTTAATACAAACCGTGGACATCGTAATGTTTCTTTCAAATATAAATTAAATTCGAAGATTGGGAATGGTCCACTCCTTTTGGTATTTCCCAAAAAAATTTTTCAAAATTGTGATGAGAATTATTGGTTTAACATCATGCGAAAGAGCATCAGATTTAGGGTCAACATTTTCAAAATTTGTAAATCTCATTTGAAGCGAAAATAATATACAAACTTTGCACCTCATAATACTTTTTGGTAGCCTATATCAAGCCCAAAGATGGGACCCATCGCTTCACTCCTTCTGATACCTAAAATTTGGAAAATAGTTAAATACAATATCAAGCGAATGAAGGGTCCGATTTGATTTCAACTTTGCACATCGTAACATTTTTATCATGTATACGTGGGACCCATCCGATTAGACATCATAATTTGTTTTTATAAAACCTACATTAAATCTGAACACGGTGTCTATAGGACAACTTATTCTGGTATCACCCCACTGATAAAGAAAAACATATCCGTTATATAAAGCAGCAGACCTATCGGCTATGTTGGCCCAACATTTCGGGCAACACATATGTTTTCTTTGAGTATTTACGAACAGAGGCTGTCTTGAATTTTTGATTATAGATGCTAAAGGCATCTCATTAATTTAAAAATAAATCCAGCCTCTTTTCAAAAATAATAATAATATCGAAATTTTATATATTTCAACAATTTATTTTAATAAAAATGATCTACTTATATTAAAATTCCTTCTTCGTCGATTTAATATCACTCCCTTGTCACAAACATCTCGACGAACCATGTTTACCGTCATTGCACACATTGCAACTGAGCATAACTTTGAACACAAGACATAAGATTGTAAAACGCTTAACTAAAATTGTACAAAATGTTGGCATTCAGTTAACGATTAACCGCGCAAGAGTAAAGTTCCAAATTTTCAGAGGGCGAACAAAACGAAAATCGATAACAAAAAACGTGAGTGTCATTCGCGACGAAGTGGAGGGAAAAATATAAAGAAAACTCAAATTAATTATACCAAAAAATAAAAATTAAAAAAAAAATAATAAACACATTGTTATTGTTGTTTTATTTTTAACAACAACAAAAAAGAGACAATACAATTATGTGTGCGTGAATCGTTGATATCTGGCCAATTAACATAAATATGTATAAATTTGGATAAATTTTGTATAAGCAGCCTTTGTGAAATGTTATGGAATTTACAAAAATAAAACTCTTTTCATTTTTTACATCATTTTTCGGCTTGCTAAAAATAAAATGAAAACAAAACCCAAAATAAAAGTTTATAAAAAACCCCTAAAAATAATAACGAAATTTTAAGAATTTGTAATAAAAGAAAATCAATGAAAACAACAAATCAATCTCAAGGCCGTTTAACTACATTATTTGTTATAAATTGCCCAAAACAATTACAATGAAGAAAAAAACACAAACGAAAAAAAGTACAACCACAATAATTGTTACCAAATTTGTTACGCTTCGTTCTGCAATTATAAACAATAAATTATTAATATTTTTTTATTAAAAAAAAGAAATAGCGAAAAAGATATATTGGTCATACGTGAATATGAATATCTATGTATGTGTGTGTGTGTGCGTGTAATATATTTTCTGTTAATAAAAATTACCAATATTTACCAAAAAGTACAATAACAACAAAAAAATTAAATAAAAACCAAAATACCTTTATATATTCACAACCAACCACCGATCGACCGACCGTCCAACCCGCCTAGCATACATAGTGCATATTTACTCTGATTGTACCTGTAACTGTGGCCGTATGGGCCAAAAGTGAGAGTGTTTGGCAATTGTCTAACCGGCCACATTTGGAATATCAGACGCGTTATATTGTATGAAGAACAATAACAACAACAAAGCCATCATAACCAACCCACAGACAACAAAACAAATGAAACCGAAAAAAGCAACAACAACTTGATTCATAAACTGACCAACCTCACAGTGTGTGAAATACGTGAATACTCAACTACAGCACAATAAGGCACATTGTTAACACTCTGAGAGCCGTATAGGATCCAAAAGTTTTCAATATAAAACGGCATTTACATTAGAACTTTTTGCAGGGTTAAACTACTTTATTAGGGATTCTTTACAGACGAGCTGAAGCAGGGAGTCTTTATAGACGAGCTGAAGCAGGAAGTCTTTATAGACGAGCTGAAGCAGGGAGTCTTTATAGACGAGCTGAAGCAGGGAGTCTTTATAGACGAGCTGAAGCAGGGAGTCTTTATAGACGAGCTGATGCAGGGAGTCTTTATAGACAAGCTGATGCAGGGAGTCTTTATAGACAAGCTGATGCAGGGAGTCTTTATAGACGATCTGAAGCAGGGAGTCTTTATAGACGAGCTGAAGCAGGGAGTCTTTATAGACGAGCTGAAGCAGGGAGTCTTTATAGACGAGCTGAAGCAGGGAGTCTTTATAGACGAGCTGAAGCAGGGAGTCTTTATAGACGAGCTGAAGCAGGGAGTCTTTATAGACGAGCTGAAGCAGGGAGTCTTTATAGACGAGCTGAAGCAGGGAGTCTTTATAGACGAGCTGAAGCAGGGAGTCTTTATAGACGAGCTGAAGCAGGGAGTCTTTATAGACGAGCTGAAGCAGGGAGTCTTTATAGACGAGCTGAAGCAGGGAGTCTTTATAGACGAGCTGAAGCAGGGAGTCTTTATAGACGAGCTGAAGCAGGGAGTCTTTATAGACGAGCTGAAGCAGGGAGTCTTTATAGACGAGCTGAAGCAGGGAGTCTTTATAGACGAGCTGAAGCAGGGAGTCTTTATAGACGAGCTGAAGCAGGGAGTCTTTATAGATGAGCTGATTCAGGGAGTCTTTATAGACGATCTGATGCAGGGAGTCTTTATAGACGAGCTGATGCAGGGAGTCTTTATAGACGAGCTGATGCAGGGAGTCTTTATAGACGAGCTGATGCAGGGAGTCTTTATAGACGAGCTGATGCAGGGAGTCTTTATAGACGAGCTGATGCAGGGAGTCTTTATAGACGAGCTGATGCAGGGAGTCTTTATAGACGAGCTGATGCAGGGAGTCTTTATAGACGAGCTGATGCAGGGAGTCTTTATAGACGAGCTGATGCAGGGAGTCTTTATAGACGAGCTGATGCAGGGAGTCTTTATAGACGAGCTGATGCAGGGAGTCTTTATAGACGAGCTGATGCAGGGAGTCTTTATAGACGAGCTGATGCAGGGAGTCTTTATAGACGAGCTGATGCAGGGAGTCTTTATAGACGAGCTGATGCAGGGAGTCTTTATAGACGAGCTGATGCAGGGAGTCTTTATAGAAGAGCTGATGCAGGGAGTCTTTATAGACGAGCTGATGCAGGGAGTCTTTATAGACGAGCTGATGCAGGGAGTCTTTATAGACGAGCTGTTTATAGACGAAATTGAACCAGGAGTATTTATAGACGAGCCGATGCAGGATTATAGGTGAAAAGAAGCAGGGTGTCTATTTATAGACTTACCTGTGAGTCTGTTATGGACAAAATGAAGGAAGTTTTTATAGAAGGACATCGAGGAATCTTTGTAGAACAGTGAAGGCGAGTGGAACTGAAGTGTGGATTTCTATGGGAGTTGAAGCATAGACTCTTTATTGAAGTGTTGACGGTATTTTTCATAGACGAGTTTTAATTAGTTTTTATAAATGCCGAATCGTGTTCCGAAAATTGTACATAGTATATTTCCCAGACTAAGGTCGCAGTGACCTGCATTCCTTCTTAAACTATAGAAATCCATAAAAACACCACAAAAAAACCGTTCACAACAAATAAAAATATTCTCTATACTATTTGAACAATCTTCGTATTTCATATATGAAAAATTAGACACTGTTTGCCATTCCAACATCAGTATATATTTCCTTGGTAAACGGTGCATATAGTGTTAAACAGTGAATAAAAACCACGACGATAATAATAACGTCGGATATAAAAATACCTATAACTCACAAAAAACGAGTTTTATACAGTCATGGCAAGTTGGTGGAATGGTTACAAAATGGCAACAAAAAACATTTAATTGTATTACTTGGCCAATATTTCAGCATGCCACATGTTGCACACATGAGGTATATGCTATATACACAATTACCCACACACACACACTGAGATACACATATGCTTGCGCTAACCCACTTTTGAGTTGGCCAATCCCCCCTCGGCTGTTTCCTTTGCAAATGTGAACAACCTTTAAACGAGTTTACCACTAAATACTTTTTTGCCAAACTGCCGTTCATTGCCTTGACAACATACATTACTTTCCATTTCAGTTCAGCTTATAAGGAATACTTCATAAGAAACGAAAGATAAACAATTCCGGTTCTTCATGTGATGTAATCTAAGCAAACAAAGTGCACCCCTCTCTTTTTTTCTATAAAACAACAACGCCCCCTATAAATGTTTAATAATGCCACAAAATTCACTCGACAAACAATCACATCACCATCATCAGCAGCAACAGCAGCAGTTTCATCATCAATCATCTGTTCCACAAGATATCAACAAGTTCGAGCGTCCTCATAGTCGACGCCATCAAGTTCGTCATTATGGCTTAAGCTTGTTAGCGTTACCAGTGCTAGCCATTATCTTGTTAGCCCAATGTAAGTATTTAATTTATTTATTTGATGAAATAGCCAATTATAATCTAACCACCTTTAAAATAAGGTCGAAACATCTTAGTAGGTCTTCCACTATCAAACATTATGGGTCGTATTTAACCAAACAATGGGTCGATGGGTCAAGTCGAATCTTTGTATTCCCTACATCAGAAGAAAACTTACATTTGTTGTGTTTATATAGACTAGTTGGAGGGAGTTCTTATAGACGATCTGAAGGGAGTCTTTATAGACGAGCTGACGGGAGTCTTTCTAGACGAGTTGGAGAGATTCTTTCTAGACAAGTTGGAGGAATTTTTTATAGGCGAGCTGAAGGGAGTGTTTATAGACGAACTAAAGGGAGTCTTTATAGACGAGCTGAAGGGAGTCTTTATAGACGAGCTGACGGGAGGCTTTATAGACGAGCTGACGGGAGTCTTTATAGACGAGCTGATGCAGGGAGTCTTTATAGACGAGCTGATGCAGGGAGTCTTTATAGACGAGCTGACGGGAGTCGTTATAGACGATCTGACGGGAGTCTTTATAGACGATCTGACGGGAGTCTTTACAGACGATCTGACGGGAGTCTTTATAGACGAGCTGAAGGGAGTCTTTATAGACGAGCTGAAGGGAGTCTTTATAGACGAGCTGACGGGAGGCTTTATAGACGAGCTGACGGGAGTCTTTATAGACGAGCTGACGGGAGTCTTTATAGACGAGCTGACGGGAGTCTTTATAGACGAGCTGACGGGAGTCTTTATAGACGATCTGACGGGAGTCTTTATAGACGATCTGACGGGAGTCTTTACAGACGATCTGACGGGAGTCTTTATAGACGAGCTGAAGGGAGTCTTTATAGACGAGCTGAAGGGAGTCTTTATAGACGAGCTGAAGGGAGTCTTTATAGACGAGCTGAAGGGAGTCTTTATAGACGAGCTGAAGGGAGTCTTTATAGACGAGCTGACGGGAGTCTGTATAGACGAGCTGAAGGGAGTCTTTATAGACGAGCTGAAGGGAGTCTTTATAGACGAGCTGAAGGGAGTCTTTATAGACGAGCTGACGGGAGTCTTTATAGACGAGCTGACGGGAGTCTTTATAGACGAGCTGACGGGAGTCTTTATAGACGAGCTGACGGGAGTCTTTATAGACGAGCTGACGGGAGTCTTTATAGACGAGCTGAAGGGAGTCTTTATAGACGAGCTGAAGGGAGTCTTTATAGACGAGCTGAAGGGAGTCTTTATAGACGAGCTGAAGGAAGTCTTTATAGACGAGCTGAAGGGAGTCTTTATAGACGAGCTGAAGGGAGTCTTTATAGACGAGCTGAAGGAAGTCTTTATAGACGAGCTGAAGGGAGTCTTTATAGACGAGCTGAAGGGAGTCTTTATAGACGAGCTGACGGGAGTCTTTATAGACGAGCTGACGGGAGTCTTTATAGACGAGCTGACGTGAGTCTTTATAGACGAGCTGAAGGGAGTCTTTATAGACGAGCTGACGGGAGTCTGTATAGACGAGCTGAAGGGAGTCTTTATAGACGAGCTGAAGGGAGTCTTTATAGACGAGCTGAAGGGAGTCTTTATAGACGAGCTGAAGGGAGTCTTTATAGACGAGCTGAAGGGAGTCTTTATAGACGAGCTGAAGGGAGTCTTTATAGACGAGCTGAAGGGAGTCTTTATAGACGAGCTGAAGGGAGTCTTTATAGACGAGCTGAAGGGAGTCTTTATAGACGAGCTGAAGGGAGTCTTAATAGACAAGCTGAAGGGAGTCTTTATAGACGAGCTGAAGGGAGTCTTAATAGACAAGCTGAAGATAGTTTTTATATGCAATATCAAATCAATTCTGAGTGTTATATCAGAGTATGTTTAGAGGATATTTTTATTAAACAACCTCCTTCTATTTCGAGTCCATGTGCGTCTTCTTCATCCTTCTATTTTTTGGATCCGTATATTGAATACAATATAAAGAGGCTCTTTAACCTCCAAAAATTCCACAAAAATTTCGCTCATAAGATTTCTGGCAGGGGCCCAAAGACGAGAAATTCATATTTGTATGTTTTTTCCATCCCTTTGCCACTTCTATTCGATTTTTGTGGCACAATTAAAATTTATAATTTTTATATTTAAACTCAAAATGTAAGTACACGACATTTTTTACCGGTGAAACTTGACGACTACTTAAAATAGTTTATTTCCGCTATTTCAAACAAAATTAAATTTGTATTTGTCGAAATAAAATAAAAAATTCTTTGAACGAAAAGCATTTTTTACACATTTTTAATTAAATTTCCAACAAATTTGAGGTCTTTATTTTATATGTTTGCTGCTTCGGCTTGAAACTGGTTTTTGGTTGGACTTTTGAAATTTGAGGCATCCATAATGCGTGAACATCTGTCGGATATACAACAACTATATCGAGCGCTGTTCGTAGCCAAAGTGTCAAGGTCATTGGAAATAACCGAGAAAAAACAATAAGCATAGTTATTATCATTGGACTTTGTTGGGGTTTTAATGTTTTTTCAACAACAACAACATTTAGAATAGATCTGTCTCCTTGTAGTGATTTCTGAATAGAAGATTATAAAGTAATTCAAATTATGCGGTATTTTTTCTATTTTCATTGGGGCCTTACGTTCGAATTCTTTGAGGCATAAATTAGCCATTTCAAATGTTAGTGATCTAAGGTCGCTGTGATTAACTTTATGATAATCAACGGTTTTTAACAATGAATCTAAATTAACAGAATTCAGGGTTAAAATAGAAGATAACATAGACATACGCTTTGATTGTTAACTATGAGAAGTTAACACCCTATAATTCTTGAAACTATAATTAAATGTATTGACAAGGATATTTATTTGTTCATTAGGCAATTACAAAGTTTTTTTTATTCAAGGTTTTACGAATTTTTCAATTTTTCACTAAAAACTAATATTGACAATTGTTTCAAAAGAATTGGAATGCCTAATGAGAACATGGTATGTTAAATTACGCCATCAAATTGACCCGTCATGATGAATGATGCCTATTCTATTCACTATGGTGACAAAAATCCAGAGTTATATAAATAGTTGTATATCGATCGGTCAAATTATAAGAAATCTATTACCTCGAAAAACAAATTACATTAAATGGTTTATTAGTTCTTTGACATAGGCAATACAGGGGGAATAGCCCCTAAATTGACTGGGTTATTTCGTTCCTTATAAACAAATTGCGCCATTAGGCCAAAAAGTACGCCATTAGGCCAAAATGACCTATCTACGAAATCGGTGAATAAAGTCGACGGGACAAAAATTATAAAATCCAATATCTCTCCTCCTTTAACTTCAAAATTTTATAATCGGTGTTAACAACAATAGATTTTTTAGAGTGTATGATCATGATCATTTCCGACACTACAATCTATACTGATAAAAGAGTAAAGTGAATGTCACTCTTGGTCCAAATGTGACACTCTTGGTCCAAATGTGACAGATAAGGCTGGGTTTTTGGAAATTCGTACTAGAACGGTACTAAATATGGTATCATTTGTATTTGGCGAACCAGAAATTCGAACTATAAGTATCCGAAAAGTACTGAAATGTACTAAATTTGGTAAAATTTCGTAGCGTGTGAATGGATTGAGCTAAAAACTTGATATTTGGAATGCAAATTAAGGTTGAGAAGTAGTAGAATATGAGGAGAGTTTGGAAAGCGTGTACTCATGTGTACGAAAAGTACTATATGGTACAATATTTGGTACACATTTGATTTGGAGGTACAAATCGAGCTGGAATCCTGAAAATTGAAAGTAACATTACCGTCGGAGTCTAGGATTGGAATATGTATGTAGTTTTGAAAAATGTTTACTTATGTGTACGAAAAGTACTAAATCATACTATAATTGGTGCAATTTTGATTTGGGTGAACCGATAGAGCTGGAACAATGACGTTTGGATCATTGTAGGGATGTAGGGTTAGGGTCAGGATTCAGTTTAACAAATTAATACTTATGGGTACTAGATATGGTACAATTTTTTTATGGTGAACCAATAGAGCTAGAATCATGAAATTTGGAGTCAGGATCACTGTTAATGTGTAAGATTGAAATATGTTGGAGGTTTTGTAAATTCGTACTACTGTGTACAATAGAATTGGAATCCTGAAACTTGGATTTAGAATCACTGTGGGGTGTAGGATTGGGGCATGTAGGAAGTTTTGGAAATTGGTACTACTGTGTACTAAATTTGGTACAATTTTAATTGTGGGTGAACCAATAGAGTTTGAATCCTGAAATTTGAATTTAGAATCATTGTGGGGGTGTAGGATCGGAGTATGCAGGAAGTTTTGTCAGTTGGTTGAGGAGGGTACTTATGGAAGTAATGTGTGCTAAATTGTAAAATTTGCATTTGGGTAAACCTTTAGAGCTCCAATCATGAAATTTGGTACTAAATGGTACTCAAATTTAATTTGTAGTCGATATTAATGTGTAGATTGTTTTTTTTTTTTTGACATATGCAGTTTTCTGTGAAAATAAAATAATATGTTAATACATGTTGAAATATTTCCTACATTCGCTAACGAATTTGCGGGCATATGCTAGTGTATATGTATTCTGTTGTAATTACTCTAGCTTCTAAACGAATTGAGATAGATCGCCAAAATTTTGCATAGAGTTGTTTTTTTTTTTTTTTTTTGTCTGCTGGCAAGTCAAGTTCGAAGATGAGCTATATTGGTCCATGATTTAGGCATAGCCCCCATATAAGAGCGCGATATTCAAGCGAAATGGCTGAAATGTGGTACAATGGGTACCAAAAGTCTCCACCAAATGATAAATACCGGTCCACTTTTTCTGACATTTCCAATTTTCGGTATTTTTGGGGTTCTTTTCAACCGCTGCATTAATTGACAAACATGTCCCTTGTAACCTATGCCAAATTTCATTTCATTAGCGCAGATTTAGAGTGGTTTTTGTTTAATCTAACTATTCATTATGCTACAATACAGTGCTCTGTTGAAAATTTAGCGTAATAAATTTAAGCTATGTTATGCAAAATTTTGTGTCAATCGGCCTAAATATAACTCTTTGCTGCACCATTTCCTAAAAGTCGGACGAATATATATACAGCAGTTATATCTAAATCTGAACCGATTTCATTAATTTCAACAGGGTTCGTCCTTGGGGTAAATAAATGATCTGTGCCAAATTTCATCTCATTCGGATAACAAATACAGCCCCATACCATTACACAGCCTCCTCTGTGCTTTACGATTGGAATTGTGTGTTTAGGTCCATGGTATTATTCGCTCTGCGCCATAACTTACTTGGTACATCCGAACCAAACAAGTTCTATTTGTTTTCATCAGCAGAAATGATAGATTTCCTTTTTTGGTGTTCCTGAACGAACTACAATCGGGTTTCCCGGTTTTTGAATGACTTTTATAGTACAACTCTACCATGAAGACCATGCTTACGCAAAATTTTTCGAATTGTTTCTGGCATACATTTCTTTTCCAGATATTTCTTTGCCGATGATCCAAAACTAAGCGCACTTAAACTTGCTGAATTTAAGTGCACTTAGTTTTGGATTATCGGCCACTTGTCGAAGCAACCACTTTCAGTTTCTTACATTGAATAGTTTTTTTCTCGCTGGTTTTCGGTTTGTTGCAAATTCGATTCTCGGTTTTCTGTCTCAATATAAATTTTTTTTTTTGGACAGCAGATCGAATAATATTGAGTATTCCCGCTATTTTCCGTTGATATTATCCTAGTTCAGCATGTTGAAGAACTAATTTTCTCTCGGAAATCGTTGTGTGGCGTCCCATGGTCTCAAATTCTCACGATGCCTATTCAAATAAGCATAAAGTGTAAAACAAATTCTGGTGCAATATTTAACATGATTTTCCAGGGGAAGATTTATTTTATAATTCATTATTTACATTACTATAAGGTTTTAAGAGCAGCTCTTGTATATATCAAAAGTGGTGTAGAGTATCATATAGTCGGCCCCTCCGACTTTTGTTTTTTTACTGGTTTTAAAGTTCAAATCTTTGTCGTAAATTTATAGACGAAGATGTTATAAATAAGGAGCTGGCCATGACATAAACATATGACCCGTCTATATTATTTCCATCAACTCGAAACTTGGTGTATTTGAGAACAGAAAATATAATTTTGTAAGGCTGCGACAAAACTAAAAATAAAAATTCGTCTACAACATGTTAAAGCCCACGCAAAACAATTCCCAACAATGTTGTCAATATCTGCCAAAATCGAAGAGTAGTAACACTCCCCTCCCATTACCTCTTTTCACTCTCGTACAATTATTGCGACATTTGAAGTGTTAAAATCAAAAATGTTTGGTATGTAAACAATTTAGGTGAGGTCGCAAACAGAGATCATCGACAGCATATCTCAATACTTTATTTTGTTTACTTTTTTAAGATAAATATGAAATAACAGTTAGGATTCCATGACATTTATCCGTGATTATGCATTAACAATAAACTAAGCCCCTTATTTATTCGATCGTTGAAGCATTTACTCGAAATGATCCGTTTAGGGTAATTTTGATGCGCAGATGCGTGCCGTCGTCAAGTAGCTGCCTATAAGACAAATTAAAGTATGTATTATGTAATTTTATACACTTTGAGATGAGTCCGATTTTTTTATGTTGAATTAATACACAATTTCGAAGAATGCCATCTTAGTTGGTGTATTACTCATATAACCATTAACCAAATGTTGTTTAGCTGTGGAATGTGGATGAGTGTTAATTGAATTTGAGTTCAAGTTTTTTCATACACTTTTTTAGTCGACAAATTAATGAGGGTTGTCCTCATTTTGAGTTGACTTATTGACAAAATACGTATATTGAAAACATTGGGTTAACTGATCTCAGAAACACGTTTACCAAACCTAGATCAAATACGATAAGGGACATTTTAATGGTTAAAATTTGTATTATTGAAAATAAAAAAAACACATATGAAATGGATATAAATTCCTGATTAGATAGTTATTTGAAAAGAGAGACGTGAGTTTTGAATATGTCCTCGTAGGCATAAACTGTTCGCTCTGAACTTAGTTTATATATGTTAGAGAGATCCTCTCTTTCATTTTGTATACATTTTGATCATATTTTATATTATTGGCCTACTCTTAATATTTTTGGGTACTTCTCCTGCTTCTCTAACTCAAATTCATGTGTTTTTCGCCCAAGCCAAGAGCTGTCGCATTTAGAAAATAAAGGTCGAAATCTTCAAAAAGCGTTGCCAATGTCCATAGCACAGAAAATTTCTATAAATTTGATATTCTTATTTTGATTTTACCTTTTAATAGGTGCTACATCTTTTCTCGTTGTCTTATTGCCATCCATGGTCGCATGTCAAGTCACAATTAGAAAAACCATCACATATAACAATGTTAAACACTCTGTAGGTCACGTTGATCGTATCTAATATATATATCGAAATAATTTGGAAAATACATATGCGAATTTTTTAATAACAATGCAGTGTCTCAAATAAGCAAACAATGAAATGCTAAACTAGCCACAATGGAGTTAGTGGAGAGACGGAGTTTGTTAGCAAGAGAAACAATAGCCAGACACATAACCACCATGAGAGGGGAGAAGCGGATTGCCCATGCCGAAACAAAACACAGCCGAACAGAGTAAAGTAAGACGAAGAAAGAAAATAGTTTTTATATTAATGAAACGTTTACATATGTTTGAAAAATAGTGTTTTTCTCATGATTTTAAGAAAATTTACTTGTAATCCAAGTGGGATATGTGGACAATATGAAAAAAGTATGAATCGAATTATAAAAATATTCCCTAACATTTTTTCTGTGAGGTGTGTAATTTGAAACTGGTTTAAGTCCATTTCTTCTTATATTGAGATATTTAATGGTTTGGGTTTTATTTGTGGCTTTGTGCCCATAAACATGGTAGAATATATAACGAAATATGTTCCGTAAACTTTTCTAGAAAACCAAGATTTATATCAGAACCTAAATTAGTTTTAAACCATTTTCAAAATAAACGACTCATATGTAGACTATGTAAATGAAAATCGGCTGATGTTCATGCTCTGAGAATATTAAAGGCACTCTGGTTGAAAAATATTAGGAATTTCAACTTATCGAAAATGAAGCGAGATCATTACATTGGTGCTATTGAAAACTAAGGACATATATTGAAAATTGTCTGGGAATGTTTTTTATTTACCAGCAATTTTAAATGCTAAATTACAATCACGTTGGTGAAAAAATACGCAAAATTAGGCGGGTCCTTGTTTATATGGGATATTGGTTCATGTTTTGAATCTATATCCAAATTTGTCTACCATTTTCATGGAGAAAATTCGGCTGAAACTTTAAAAATATTGCAAAAGATGAGGATGCCTTTATGTGGTATCTATATTGAAATATGAAACTTTTTTGAAATATTATTTCTCAATCTCCATGAACCCGGAATACAAAATGTAATGTAAAATGTTGGAATGTAAAATGTTGGAAAATGAGGCTATACCTCAATATGGACCTATTGACTTGGATATCTTCTGCATTGATATATCTCAGCCTTCAAAAACCCGATATGCCGAATTACGAACCTGATAGGTTCTTTATGCTCTAAGATACAATTTGGAAAACAAAGATACAATTTGGAAAAAGTTTTCAACAGGAATTTGAAATGTCAATTACAGCCACTTCGGTGGAAAAAGCGGCTAAAACATTCAAAGTTCGGAAAATGAGGCGGGCCGTCTTTATATGGCTTTATGTTAAAAGTTGGATTGAAAGTTTTGTGTACAAATGCTTCCCAAGAACGGTTTTAGAACTCAAACAAATCAAATTTACTATAGAAGAAACATATTTTTTCGAGTTCATCGCATTAAAGTTGCAATGTTGTAGATGCACAATTTAGTTATTAGTTGAGGTCATTATTGTGGATGAAAGCCGTGCAGAATATTTTCAAAGTATTTCTGGTTTTTGATTAAGTCTTCCCTATGTCTACTCCACTCGATTTTAGTATTTTGAAGGTTTAAGCAAAATGTTTCCAATCTCATTTGTTTATAAATTGCCTTTCTTGAATTCTTAGTTATCGATCAACATATTTACAAAAAATATAATTTAGGTAAAGTTTATAGTAAATCCCCATTTTGCTATTAATTTAATAATTGAGTTCATGATGAATAGAATATATTGGCAAAAATACAAAATTTTGGAATTTAAAATGTTTCCTATTATTTTACAAATTTTACTTTTTAACTAATACTTATACGTCTTCTTTTTCTCATTTCAGGTTCCCCATCTTCGGCCTTAGTTGTTCCCAATGAATTACCCTCTATCTTGTCGCTAGTTTATTCAAATATACCGCCCATCAAAAAAGGTTATCTTTCAAAACAAATTTTAAACGTCAACCCATAAGCCAAACTAGTCTAAATTTTATATTCTCCTCTTTTACAGGCACAGATTCACGTCTCGGATTTGGTTTTAGACTTGGCAATCATGCTGATTTCCAAGTTATGGTTGAATTGGGTCCACAAAAAGAAACACGCCCCATTGGTGATCAGGATAGTGGATCATCTTTCAATAAACGACAGGTGAACAGGCAGCAACAACGTGCTGTACAAAGAGATGCCATAAGGGCAGAACAACAATCACAAGTGACTAAAACCACTGAAACTCAAACAACAAATTCCTGGCTAGAAAAATGGGCCAGTCAAGTAAATGATGCCAAAACGGCTAAAAAGCAAGCTGCACCCAAAGCGAAGCCATACAAAAAACCCATTGCAACCAAACCTGCCCAAGCTGTACCCTCAATGCCTCAACAAATGAAAACACAAGCCCAGGCCATTCAACAGTTACAAATGCTGTATAAAATGGCCACCTCAACAACAGACGAAGACTTGACGCCAACCACTAGCAGTACAACTGTGGCCCCCAATGCCCCTATACAAAATCTCCAGGAACGTTTAAAACTTTACAAACCTCCGGCAAATTTAGAAGAATTACAAATTTTAATGCAAAAATCCCAGGCTCAAACAAAAGCGGAAGTCACCAAAGAACTGATGGATGTCAATTTGGATGAGTGATTATGACCGCAACTGGGAATTTAGTTTTACTGGTGACATTGTACCTATATTTCATACATATCTTTTGTATTATATCATACACACTTTCTTTTGTAAATAAATTGTTTGGTAGATGTAAGATCTATATTTTGACAGTGAAAATAAATGTTTGTATTTCTTCATATTCATAGAAACCTTGAACTAATGTTCAGACTTTTGAATATAGGAATCAACAAAATTCTGAAACAAAGAAAAAGGACGTAGTTGAAGCTGTTCTAGAGTTTGAAAAGAACAATTTCAGACGCTTATTGATTACTCGAACCTCCACTTGAATGAACATATACCTATTGTTAGTCGAGACCCATATTTCAACATTTTCTCTGAGTATGAGTTTTTGAAGTCTAGTCAAATCCAATGATTCTTGTCCATGGAAGCCCTCGAACTAGATTTCAGAAACGTATGTCAAGGTTGTTTCCAACCATTTTAAAATAACATGTATTCTCTCGGAGAGTTCATCATTTTTTGAAAGATTTTAGGAGGGTATTCAGGCAGCTAGAATATTCATATAACTATGAATACCAGTGCGAATTTCAGCCAATTTGTTTTCTTCTGTTTAGAAAGTGCTTCGGGTTCGGTGGTGGTCGTAAGGTTTTCAACAAGGTTTAACTTAGAATAAATATTTCGTTCCCGACACTGTCAAAGAGTGAAGCGCCATTCCCCTGCTGAACAACAGTGCGATATTGGCAACCCTCTTAGATTTGAAATTTCGAAGTTTTTATTTGTGCATACAAAAATTTGTAAACTTAAGTTCATATATTTTTATACCTATTAAAAATACCATATGTAAAAATTCATCACTATGCATGCCAAAAGTCTATACCATTTCCTGAACGGGTTTTATATAAATTTAAAGTCATTTTCTTATTGATATGTGGTCAAAATCCAATATAGGTCAGTGCGATATAGCAGTGGCAAGGTCAGTTAAAAGCAGTCCATGAAAATAGTTCATGTCATCTTTCCTGAATTCAAGTTCATTACTTTGCAAAAACAAAAAAAAAAAGATTCAATCACATTAGTAACGGACTTCCGTAATCCAACGATTCGGATATATCTTTCAAAAGTCATAATACTCGTAATATGGAATAAATATAGGAACTGGATGTTGAAAAACAAGTATCAATTATCGGATACTTATAATAATAGCGAGTATGTCTTGAGTTTACACCTATACTATTTTAGCTCCATTCAAACTTCGATTCACTCTCAGGCTACAAGTACATCCATTTCATTTGAAATGTTAATATTGAAAATTGAAAATATCTTGTAATAATGGTCACATATATAGATCATATCGCTTATTTAACTCAAAAAACACGATTTTGCAGAAAATGCGTTTGAAGTTTTAAATTTACTCACACTTTATATGGGACAGAGGAACTTCTACAGCGACTCAATTAGAGTGTGTAAGAGATGTTCATATGAATTTTTTACACCACATGAGGTCTATTATAGCGAACAATCGTGCATCAATAACTCGAAAATCACGTTTTTTGAGTTATGCCTCTATTGCAGAAAATGAGCGATATATAGATCATATAAATAAACCCGCGAAGTTTTATCATACATACATACTAATTTTTTTACGGCAATATTCTGGTGTGGGAAATGTGAACTAATTTCTGTATTAAATTGGTTTCGGACTGTGATATGCTATTGTGAATTATTGGTTACTCCAAGACACAATCCAATTGTTGTTATTACAAACAGAGCCATCTACATTTGAATATAACAATTAATAATATCCAATTTAAATATGAAATGGTTTTTTGCATAGAAGAGGTTAAAATAATTTCTTAAAGCATGAACTTTCTCTAAAATTGTCGGACAGAACTGCAGTTTGCAGACTCATTGTTATAAGCATAGGGGAGAGGGGCACCTTTCAACTATGAACCTTTGAATCTTGGTTTAACAGTTTTTTTCGACCCGCATTAAATTTCAAATGCGAAATTAACTGTAATTTTCATCATATAGTATGAACATAATTTTTTACGTTACTTTATGCTTTAATAAATTTTGATCTGATTCGATTTAATTTATTTGATATTGATATTTCCTCACATGCTGCAAAAATATACTGGTTTCCTTTCGAAGTCAAAGGTGTCCTTCAAGCGAATTTCTAACCTTTATAAATATTTATAGATCTCCAGTTATTCTAGCAATTTCTGGGTCATTTGCATCTTTATTTTTTATACAATGTCTGACTTTCCCAATTTTAGGTTTACAATACCAAATGTTGGCAATTTAAATAGATTTTACAGAATTTTTTTAAACTTAAAAAATAACCGAGATAGACAGATGGTTCCTTTTGAGAATATGAATTGAATCAATTTCTAAGTCGATTTAAGCATGTCCGTCCGTCCGTCTGTCGGTTGATGTTAAATTGTAAACAAAGTACAGGTCGCATTTTTAATCTGATTTGGCTGAAATTTGGTACAGCTCATTTATTTGGCCCAAGGACGAACCCTATTGAAATTGGGAAAAATCGGTTCAGATTTAGATATAGCTATATATATTTTTGTCCGATTTTTGGTAAATGGTGCACCAAAGACCCTAAATATGCTTCGATTTGCACGAAATTTGGCATGACGTATTGAATTGAGCCTATAGCGATGTCTGCAAGTTTCGTGAAAATCGGTTCAGATCTAGATATATATTTTTTCGTCCGATTTAATTTAAATAATGTGCCAAAGTTCTTATGTTGAATAACGTACTGAGATTAGTCCAGAATTTTGTGTGCCATGTTTCGTAAAAATCGGTTGAGATTTAGATATAGCTGATATGAAGTAATCGACGCACCAATAAACCAATATATGGCTGATAGAAACTAAACGTACCGAAATTAGTATAACTTAAACTGTGACAAGTTTCGTTGAAATCGTTTCATATTTGGGTATAGCTTCCATATATATTTTCGTCCGATTTTAAGTAAATTGTACATCAAACTCCTCATGTTTGTCAGATTGACATCAAATTTTGCACAACGTACAAACTTGAGCCAAGAATAACGTAGTTACGTTTTCTAGAAGTCGATTTGTTTGAAGCCGATTTTCATACTTTTGCCCCAAACGAATGACATGCTTATGGATAGATCTAGTCCGATTCACATTTAGATAAATAACATCCTAACTTAAATTTAATGTAATAAAGTTAAATAATGCATCAGAATTTTTCTTTACACTTTAGGCGAGAGTTTGATTATAGTCATCGTGAGAATATGAGACAATGGGCCGCCACAAACGATTGCTGAGAGAAAATTACTTCTTCGCCATGCTAAACTAGGAAAATAGCGGAAATGCTCAATACTACTCGATCATCTATCAAAAAAAAATTATATTGAAGCACAAAACTGAGAATTTGTAATGTAAGAGGCGAAAAGTGATTGCTTCGATGCCGAGCGATCCAAGCTTATTAAGTATTTTGGAGAAAAATATTAGAAGTATTTTGGCTTCTAATATTTTTCTCAAGCATACCAAGCCTGAAAAATGCTTTACAAATGGGCAATTATTAGATATTAACCATGGTATAATAATAGAAGATAACAGCAAGTGTTGTTGTACAACAAAGGATACAACAACCACATGGAAATTTGTTGTTGTGAGTTATACTAGTGTCAACGTCATTTGACAGAAAAATGTAAACAAAGAAACAAATTACAAATATGAAATAAGTAATAAAATAACAAATTAAAAATGCCAATTAAGTGGTCAAGAGAAAACTTGATTGTTTATGTGCAAAAACATCCATTTTTAATTCAAATTTATTTAATTTTTTCCCACAGAAAAAATGTAAAAAAACAAATATGTTTTAAACCGAATTACCTTGTATAGACATATGAAGCAAGCAAGTTCAAAAGAGAACGATAAGAATTGCCGCTAGTAATCGCGCCTAATCTAAATCAGGACTAAATTTTTACAACAATTTTCAATAAAGAAGAGTCAAATGAGAAATAATAACAAAATACGCAAATGCAATCACACATTTGAATATAAAAAAGTTAAATAAAAATGTTCAGTAGAGTAACTTCCGGTAATGTGGACAACCTTTTGAGGTCTTTTTTTGATATTGTGGGCGTACCGACGGTAAAAACTGAAAACAAATTGTTTTCACAACATAGTAGATTTGTTGGCTAAATATATACCAGATCAATAATTATATATTTGTCTATAAAAATGTTATTGCATTATATTTAAAAAAAAACTCTAAGCTGGAAATAAAAATAACTTGGCGTGTAATGTGGACCAGTATGTGTGGGTAATGAGTATCAGTAAGTTAAAGGTAGGTTGTGGTTTGGTTGTGATAAATTTCAATTTATTACACTCTTGGGTAACAATGAATGCAAAAATATATGGGTTCATGTTTTGGAATAGCCCCAATTTAAGGGTACCGCCCCATTTGCGGTATTTTGAAGGTCCTTGCTTCATTATCCAACCGAAGCACCTGTAATTTCGCATATCGAGTTTTCAGAGGATAGAATCGCATATTAAATTCACCCACGTTTCGAACTCGTCCTCATGAAAAGGTCCCACATTACCACTTTTTATAGTGGTCCACATTACCCGACATTGAATATTTTTATTTAGAAATAATTATCGGCTTCAAAAATGAATAAAAATTAAAAATCGCCGATTGTAATTACAGCTAAACGTATATTTTTGTTAAAGAAAACAAGAAAAACCACATAACTTATTTATATTCGAGAAAAACAAAGTGTTCGACTATTTTGCAAAAGCGTTCGACTATTGTGCTAAAAATATTCAAATCGCACTTTTACAGTCAGAGCTACATTTTCTACTACTACATTTTCAACATTGCAATTATTTACTAAAAACCAATTTTGATGTTTGTTTTCACTAATAAGGAAAATATTTATCAAGGCGGCACTGACATATTTCAAGCATTTTCTTAGATATGGGGGGGTGGTCCACATTTGACGCATGGTCCACATTACCCGAAGTTACTCT